GTAACAAGAAGCTACTAGGAACAAGGGCCTTACTACTAGGAACAAGAGGACGCTGCTAGGGGCTTTGAAACAACCAACTTTCACCCGTGACAGGCCTCCAGAGAGGCGGTCTTATTGGAGGCGAAGGCAAGGAGGGAGGAGGAAGACGTTTTGTTCCTGGCGCCTGCTGGCGGAAAGCTTCTTGCAGCTTAGGACTCTTTAGGACATGGAGGCCCCCTTACCATTGGAGACGCGTCATCCGAAACGAAATGAAAAGAACCTGCATGTTTGATCTAATGAACACTGTTCCAATGAAAAGATAACACGATAAACAAGCCGCCCCGTCAGCTGGAAGAAAATACAAGTAAAACACAAAGTCTATTCGGTTGGAGGCCTATTGTTCCTAGTAGCGTCCTTGCTCCTAGTGGCGATTCCAGGAGCCCCTAGTAGCATCCTTTCTCCTAGTAGTAATGCCAGGAGGTTGAAGGCCTATTGCTATCAGGTTGGAGGACAAACTCCATGTATAGTCCCCAGCCTTGAAAGGCGAGTGGCCGGACACGTCAGCTGGAAGAAGAGATGGAGGACGTTCCAATTCTAATTCTTGCTTCCCTTTGCTCCTGATAGCGTCCTTGCTCCTAGTAATAAAGCCAAGAGCTCCTAATAGCTGCTCCTAGTAGCGATGCCAGGAGCCCCTAGTAGCGTCCTGGTCTTGCTACTAAAAAGGCCTTATTCGGACTGGGATGCTGTGAGCCATTCTTTCTATTGCTTCGCTTTCAGATTGCCAAGCTGTTTTCCGTTTTATCAAGAACTAGTAACCTGTCGTCACCTTTGCAAGGGGAAGTCAATGTTGCCCCCTTCCCACCAGAGAGAGGTGGAGAGAGAATCACTTGAATATCTCGAGCATGACTTTCTTTCTAGTTTCTTGTGGAACGAGTACCTTAAGAGCAAGAGCAGAACTGGACATTTTTGACCACTGCTTAGAGCTTGGGAGCACGCTTGCTTGGAGCTTCCAGGAGCTCCGGCGGCATGTGCGCGCCCAGCAAACTGCCAAGGCGAATGCAAGACCGTCGTTCAGAACTCTCAGAGACGAGGGCTGAAGGACCAAAAGAAGCTAATAGCAACCTAAGGGCAATGGCTTCCAACGTAGAAGCGGCCTCCAACCTTCGAGGGCTAAGGAATCGGACTTGTTGAAATGTCCTTCGACATTCTCAACCTTGAAATTCTCACTATTTTCAGGTGGAAGCTGAGCGCCAGGCTGGCCTTGTCGAGGCGCAGCATGGCAGCTAGCCAGCTCCATAGGAATATTCGGCACATTCTGGCAGGTGGAGAGGAGCAAGCTCTCTTGCAAACTCCAACTGGCTGAAAGCTCATCACCCAGCAGCCCCACACCATGATTGTTTAAACTCTAAACCATTCTTCGAACAACTCTGCGGAAAGACTCCTCATAAACTTTGACCAGCTTAAAATAGAGGCAGTTCCAGCTGCCTCCAGTTTACTTGGTGGCTTCCGAAAGAAGCCACCCACGCGTCTCAGGCGAAGTCACGGACGCCAAAGCGCAAGAAGTGCGCTTGGCCTCTGCTGCCAAAGAGGTCAGATGCTTCGCTCGAAGCTTCACCGGATGTTGCTTTTGGGCGGATCTTGAATTCTTATCTACTAGGAGCAAGGACGCTACTAGAGGCTCCTGACAGCACTGCTAGTAGCATTGAGGGGGGTGGCAGCTTGCCGGCTTGGTGTTTGAGAGGGCAGGTTTCTGTACGGGATCCAACAGGCGCATAGCCAAAGAATGCGAAACAGCGTGAAGCGTTGTACAAGCTTTCGGCTACCACTGTGGCTTGCTTTTTGCTCATGCCGAGCGAGCTTGATGTGCACCTTTGGGAAGAGCGCACTATAGGGCATCGCTCCTACTTTAGGCGATGGCCTCCAACCTAATAAAGGAACCTAAATAGCGATGGCCTCCACCCTAGTAGCGATGGCCTCCACGCAAGTTTGAGGGCCATACCTTGACCAGGCTCGTGACAAAGCGGAGGAGCTTTCCCTGCAGCTGCAGCGTGCGGAGGATGTCTACACCTTGCTTCTGTGATGTGTCGGTCGCAACCGTAACACACTGAGAGAAACGCGCACAAAGTATGACCTCCACCCTAGTAGCGTCCGTGCTCCTAGTAGCGAAGCCCTTTGTTACTAGTGACTTCTTGTTCCTACATTAGTATGACTTGTGTTTGTTAGACTTACATAAAGTTGAAGCCTCGCATGCCAAACAAACGCTCACTTTACGTGCACTGGACGCTGGACGCTTAGCGCTAAGCTGGGCCTGATGGGATAGGTGCATGGTGCGGTGAAGTTATCGATTGCGTGCTTCGATGAAATGCAATTCGACTCGGGTTATTTGATGCTGTGAATGGTTTGCTGCGATATGATGTGCTGTTTCATGGGGACAAGTACGTAATTATAGAATAGTGATTATAGAAGAATACGTGGCCGCCACAAACAAAGCGCGTTGTGCACCGCCCAGGGGCATAGGCATAACACCTAGAGACCTGTGCGCATGCGCTGTATGTGCGTCCACTGCGGAGCTGAGCCCGGCGAAACGGAATTCCTCGGCTATTGGCAAGGCAAATTTGGGTTCAAAGTCAATTGAAAGGTGTTGATTTGTTACTAGTAGCTTCTTGTTACTAGTAGTAATGCCCTTTGTTACTAATTAGTAGCGATGCCCTTGTTACTAGTAGCTTCTTTGATTCTTTAGCGTTTGGTTTGCTGAACACTGCGGCTTCCATTTCCCCGGAACAGTGCCACCATGAAGCTACCAGAACATGCATCAGCGGCACATCATGCTAGTAGCGATGTCCTTGCTCCTAGTAGCTTCTTGTTCCTAGTAGTGGTGCCAGGAGCTACTAGTAGCGTCCTTGCTCCTAGTAGCGATGCCCTTTGTTCCTAGTAGCTTCTTGCCCACAACACCCTGAAACTCCGCAGATTTGCCTGGCACCCGCCGCTTGATTCATGCACGCATTCCCCACAATTTTGACCCTCCATGTGTAGCTCATTGCGACAGCAAACATTCGACATGGACTTCCTTAGCCCCTGCCACTACAAAGAGCACCTTCTATATATTAATTATAATATATATTCTCCTCATATTATCCTTTTCTTTTTCAACTTTCTTCTTCTTCTGCACGCATTCCTTTGATTGGGCTCCCTTTTGAGAAATCGACTTGCCTGCCCACAGTTACTACAAGGCGCGCTTTCTTCGTTCTTTATTTCTTGTTTAACTGCTCAAGCGTTCGATTTCGTTTGCACATTGACTTGCGTGACCTGGTTACGAAGAACTAATTTTTTGCAACGAACCAAGAGGGCGCAACAGTCTTTTGACACCTGGTGACCTCTGAAGAGGAACAGCGACGAGAAGCTGAGGAAGCAGCACGAGCGGCAGAGGCCTCCAGTTTGATGAAAGCCTTTTGCGATTAAAGCTACTAGTAACAAGAAGCTACGGGTAAGAAGGGCATTGCTACTAGGAGCAAATGGCGGTTGGAGGCCATTGCTAGTAGGTTGGAGTTTGAGGCCATTGCTATCAGCGTCACTGTAGCGCCCACAAGCACAAGCTACCCATGCATAGTGATTGCTGGGCTTTGGAAGTGGATTGCTGGATCACACCAAAATCTACCGGCAGCAAATTCGGTCCAAGAAAACGCAGTTGATAGATCAGTGCCGAGAAGCCTAGCAATTGTGCCGGGTCCATGGCGCTAAAACGCATCCAGAAGGAGTTGGCAGACCTCGGAAATGACCCGCCGGCCAATTGCTCTGCGGGCCCAGTGGGAGATGACATGTTCAACTGGCAGGCCACCATTATGGGACCTCCAGATTCAGCCTACCAGGGCGGGGTGTTCTTCTTGAACATCAACTTCCCATCGGATTACCCCTTCAAGCCGCCCAAGGTGCACTTTACTACGAAGATCTACCACTGCAACGTGAATTCGAATGGGGCGATCTGCCTTGACATTTTGAAGGATCAGTGGAGCCCCGCATTGACCATCTCCAAGGTCTTGCTGTCCATCTCATCTCTGCTGACAGATCCCAACCCCAATGATCCGCTTGTACCCGAGATCGCGCAAGTCTATCTCAAGGACCGGGCCAAGCATGATGCCACAGCACGGGAGTGGGTGCAGAAGTATGCCACTTAAGTGATCTACAAGCACTTCTGAGCCCAATGTAGCTGGTCAGCATGTTACTGAGGCATGCGAGATGGCCAGACTTGTTCCATGCTTCAGTGGACTTCCAGCTGTCGGCAGAACTGTGCGAGTCTTGAAGAAAAGGTTGCTTCTGGCAATGAGGTCCCGTGAAGGATTTTTATCTTGCGATGGCCTCCAACCCAGTAGCTTCTAGCTACTGGTAACTAGTATCTTCTTGTTCCTAGTTGGGATGCCAGGAGCTACTAGTAGCGTCCTTGCTCCTAGTAGCGATGTCCTTTGTTACTAGTAGCTTCTTGTTAGTAGATGAAGGGGAGGATTCTATCATAAAGATACATGCTGACGCACATGTTGAATTTTGTACCCACAAAAAAACTTGCTGAAGTGTTGCATGCCTTGATGCAAAACCCTTTTTGTACAGCAAAAAAACTGTAGATCTAAACAGGCACTGACAGGCAAAGTATATCCTTGCAGACTTGGCCCAGAGGTGTTGTAGTTGGTAGATCAGTGCCGAG